ATAGATAGAATCTAAGAGATTTGAGAGAGGATGATTGATTTTTTGTGGAAAAACACGAAGAAGGATGTGGTGTATTTATAGTCGAAAATAGGGCCAAAGTGTAATTTAATAAACTTAGGGTTATATCAAAAGTTTGGGAGGGGGGAGGGGGTGGAGGCCATTTTTGATCGTTTTTGGCCGTTGGGAACGACTTTTTTTGCAATTGAAGCCATTGCCCAGCGGCTAGAATTCCAAAAAAAAAAAAGAATTCCAGCGGGACAGGCGGGACGGGATGGGACGGGACAAACGGGATGTAATGGTTGTCCCGTCCCATCCCGTGTCCCGTTTAACATTGGCCCATCCCATTTAAATTGAAGTGGGTCGGGCCGGGACGGGACGGGACGTCCCGTTGGATAGCCATAGATCACAATGTGCATCATATTCCGCAGTTGTTAATTTCCTGTTCTGCTCCATTGGTGTCACAGCTTGTTTAGAACCTGTTAATCCTAGTTCTGTTATGAGCTCAACTGCATATTTCCTCTAGCACAGTAAGATCCCCTTTTGAGATTTGCTTACATCTATTCCCAAGAAGTACTTCAATGACCCCAAGTCTTTGATCTTAAAAGCTTTGTGCAATATAGTTTTTGCTTCTTGTATTAGAGTCTCATCATCTTCTGTGATCAAAAGATCATCAACATAAACAAGGATGATAACAAGTTTGCTGTTTCTTCTTAGGGTAAAAAAAGGGAATGATCATGTCTGCTTTGAGAGAATCCTACCTGTAAAAGGGCTTCTGTAAGCTTCAAGTTTCATTATCTTGATGCTTGTTTAAGCCCATAAAGGAATTTGAGTAGTCTACAACCCTTGTTCCCACCTTGACTACCAAAACCAGGTGGAAGCTGCATGTAGACTTCCTCTTCTATGTCACAATGAAGAAAGGCATTATAGACATCCATTTGGTAAAGATTCCACTGATGAATGGCAGCTAGTGCAATGACTGCCCTTACGGTAACCATCTTGACAACTGGGGAAAAGGTCTCCTCATAATCTAAACCTTCCTGCCGACTATAGCCTTTGGCAACTAGCCTAGATTTTAACCTTTCAACCTCCCCATTTGATTTGTATTTTATCTTGTACACCGATCTACGCCCAATGGGAATTTTTCCTCTAGGTATGTCAACTACCTCCTAGGTATTGTTCAGAACAAGAGCATCAACCTCTGCCTTCATAGCCTCAACCCATCTAGGATCCTTTATAGCCTCCACATAGGATGAAGGTTCCTCCTCTGATATTGCAGCTAGGAATGATTTATACCTTTGTGAAATAGAACTGTAATTTAGGTAATTGGTCAAAGGATATGCACAATTTGAGGAAGATCTTCTTGTGCCTGGGCAAATGTAATCTTTCAACCATGTTGGAGGTTTGGAATCCCTTGTAGACCTTCTGGGCTGCAGTTCAGACTCTGCAATGGATTGTTGGACTTTAGGAGCCTGATCAGTATCTACTACTGCCTTATTCTCATTAATTTGCTCAACCTGTGGCACATGACTTTCAGGAAGTATTGCAGGTGTGTTGGATGTACCGTGTATACTAGTCAACTCCTCTGCATGCTGAGTCTCCACATGATTAGGATTAGTCTGATGGAATGTCTGATCATCCTGCAATTCTAGGAACAAGGTAGAGTCTGTAGTTCTTTTCATAAATTGAAAAGGAAAGATGTCTTCCCTGAAGGTCACATCTTTGTTGACAAAGAACTTCTTCCCCTTGAGATCATAGAGCTTATAACCCTTCTGTGATTCTGAGTATCCCATATGAACTGCAGCTATTGCTCTTGGTGAAAGTCTGTCAACCTTCTCTGTGATTGTAGCATAACACAAGCAACCCATGGTCCTTAGATGCAACAGACTTGGCTTGGCCTTATGGAAAACTTCATATGGAGATTTGCCCCCTAAGACTGAGGAGGGCACTCTGTTGATGAGATAGACTGTTGTGAGTACACGATCTCCCCAGAAGTGCAATGAAATACTCCCCTGAAACCTTAAGGCCCTTCAACTTCTAAGATATGCCTATGTCTCCTTTCCACCACTCCATTTTGTTGTGGAGTGTATGGATAGCTACTTTGATGAAAAACACCACAACCTGCCAAGAAATCCTTACATTCTGTGCTAAAATATTCTGCACCATTATCAGTTCTCAACATCTTAACATCCTTTCCAAATTGCACATGCACTAGTTTAAAAAATGATTTCAACAAGACAATGGTGTGGCTCTTCAATTTCATTAGAAATACCCAAATCATCTTTGAGTGATCATCTACAAGTGTTAGAAAATATCTATTTCTATTATATGTAGGAACTCTATATGGTCCCCAAATGTCTACATGTACTAAGTGAAAAATTTCTGCAGCTCTACTATTACTAAGAGCAAAAGGCTTTCTTTTTTGTCTAGCTAATGGACATACAATACATCTTTCAAAACTACAACTTGATATCTCCTTAGTCTTCAAGAAATCCAGCTTCTTCATCACCACTGCAGGTATGTGTCCAGCCTTCTGTGCCATGTGAATATATCAGTCTTCATTTCTGCAGCAAGACAATTCCTAATTCTTTGTGCTTCCTTATTCCTGTCAATCTTCTTTGGGATCAAGAGATAAAGGCCACCTTTCTCCTTACCAATCCCCTTCACCCTTCCTAGTGTACAGGTCCTGGAACACACAGAATGTTGGAAAGAAGTTCACTCAGCACTACAACTCCCTTGTTAATTTCAAACGGATAACAAGATATACTTAAACTCAGGCACACACAGTACATCATGGACTGTATCATTTCCTGTGAGATTGTAACAACCTTGATATGTGACAGGGACAGACTTACCATTTGGAAGGTACACATTACCTCTCTTATGTTCAGGTAAAATAATCACATTATACAACAGATTATGATTTGAAGTCATGTGATTAGTTGCTCCAGTATCTATAATCCAAGGATCTCTGCAATTTTCAAAAAATTGTGAAGCATAATTACCTGCCATGTTAGCCATGTGATCATCTGATTTTTCCTTGTTTAACAGCCTCATTATCTGCCCATATTGGTCTTCAGTGAAAAAATTAGCCATTCCTTGATGTCCCTCAGCTTTACCCTTATACTTAGCATTTTCTTGTTCATGATTGTCATCACTTACCACTGCATTTGCTTGTCTGTACTGCTGGTTCCTTTTTCCCTTAAAGCCCGGTGGATAAGCATGGAGTTCATAACAAGTATCTTTGGTATGTCCCTTGAAACGACAATACTCACAATACTGATTGTTAAATTTTCTAAATTTTGCTGGATTATCCTTAGTACTCATGAATGGTGTGGAAAGTACTCGTGAATGGTGTGGAATCATTCATATCACTTGCTAAATTGACTTGTGAATTAGACAAACAAACCTCCTCTAATTTTCCTCGTTGATCAACATAGCAAGTGCACGACTTACTGAGGGTGATGAAGACTGCAATAAAATCTGACTCTTAATGGCTCCATCCGACTCATTTAGTCCCATTAAAAATTGAAAAAAGTTTTTGTTGATCTAGATGTTCAATAAAGGCCCTTGTTCCAGTAGTAACATAAAGAGAAGGAATTAAGGATCCATACTCATCCCATAGAGATTTCAGTCTAGAATGATAAACATAAATGCTTGGAGTACCTTGGGAAATTGTGGCTATCTCTTAGTGAAGGTTGTAGACTCTATATCCGTTAACTTTGTTGAAATGATCCTCCAAATCTTGCCAAACTTCATGAGCATTATCAGCATAGACAATTCCAGTAATCAAATCTGGTGAAACAGTGTTCATTATCCATGTTAGGACTGTTGCATTGACTCGCTCCCAATCTTCTCCTAGATCCTCAGTGAATTGACATTTCGTACAAGTTCTGTCAATGAACCCTAGCTTCCGCTTTGCTCGCAGCGCTATCACCATCGCTTTGCTCCAAACTGAATAATTCTCAGTTCCTTTCAGCTGAATCGAGATGACTACATTACTAAGATTATCTGACGGCTGTAGAAACAAAGGATGTCTAGGGTTATCAATGTCTAATGTCGCCATTGTTGAGCTTCAAAGCTTCTGAAAAAACAGCTAACTTTTTTCAATTTGAACAAAAATAATCTCTCTAGATTCAAATAGTAAAAAATCGAATTGAGCTCTAATCGATTCACTCAAGCTCTGATACCATATTAAATCACGCCACTAATGCGTGATATTTGAGCTTCAGAGAATATCGAAGAAGAAAGAATGAAGGTCGATTCTGAAGAGAAGCTCTCAATTGTATTGAATGAATCCTAAAACATTTACAGTGCTAATCTATATATACTATACATTGTTAAGCTAATTAACTTAGCCTATTGACCAATTACTCACTAACTAACATAACTAACCAATGCTAACCTACACAGCTGTTATCCTATACCTTGCTCACCCACTGTGCTGTGAAATTCACAGCTGTCACCAGCTGTTAACTCCTTCATCTCAACGGGGTGCTAGGTAAGTCTTTACACACTTATATTGAGGGTAGTACCGCGAGTATTGCATTACATATCCCATGTAGTACAATGATGACTAGTAAAAAAACACAAAGCCCTATGGGTTAAGGCCCAAAAGACAAGATACCCTTAAATAGTGTAAAAGTAGTGTTCTTGTCCTGTTGACAGCCATTAACCAACATTAACTTAATTAAAAAGCAAGAAAAAGTAATGATCACCCTATTCCTTCCCACATCAAAAGTTACATTAAACTAATGCAAAATACTGCAAAGACAACTTCTCCATCATTCCATTTTGCACTGTACATCCACCCCACTTAGCTGTCTCATAAATTATTCTTAGTGGCATGTCTGTCCCTTTCAATCTCTAAATGGAAGACTAATCAAACGGACCAAAATTAATTGAAGTTGGTTACATCATGAAAACTACTTATTTTAATCAACTACACCTTATTTTAAAATTAATTGGAGTTAGTTTCATGAATTCTTGATACTTCTAATTACCATGAAATGGACATCATGACTACTACTACTAACCTTTTGATTTCAAATTAACTGAAGTTGGTTATATGAGTTCTTGATTTTTCTGTTCAAAGTCTATGCTATTAAAAAAGATTCAATTTTTATCACAAGTTATACATAGTGAAGGTCCCATTAGTGGGATCTTTAGAAACAGAACCGAAAGTAAGAGAAAGAAAAGAGGATTGAAAGAGAAAGGTGCAAACTTTTTCTTTTTCCCTTTCTCTTTTTTCTTCTTTTCATACCTTCCTTTTTTCTTTAGTTTTAGCTTTTACACATTTGAATACTTAATACAAGGACCCTTTAATCCAGAAAATATAAGTAGCTTTTTTAGCTGAGGTGAAAAAAAGAAGAAAGTTAAATTGGATTGGTTGTTGGGGTTTTGTGGAGAATTGGTTTTGATCTATACTCAAAAACTGGTATGTAACTTATATTGGAATTCTTTTTCCTGTTATTTCAGTTCAAGAACAGCTTATTGGGGTTTTTATATTTTCCTCAATTGATTTATTTTATGTGGATTTTCACTTTTGATGCAGTTTTGAAGTTTCTGCTATTGCCAGTTGATATAAGGGGATTGAGTTGTTTCCTGTAATTGAATTGTATTAAGATTTTGAGAATATTAAGTATTGTTTACAAAAAAAAAGATGGGTGTTGAGTTGTTAGAGATTGGAGTTCAGATGAGGAGAGTAGTGATGTTTTCAATTAAAGGATGTTATAAAACAGTGTTGAATCATCCTTTCCTTGCGAGTATGCTGTGTTTCATAACATTTTTGTACAGATCTTTCCCATTTCTGTTTTCCATATTAGTAGCTATATCCCCAGTTCTTATTTGTACTGCTATTTTGCTTGGAACTTTACTAAGTTTTGGCCAACCAAATATACCTGAAATTGAAAGGGAAGAAAAAACAACTCATGATATAGTGCCTTTGAAAACTGGACTATTATGTGATACTACTCATATTGAGAGTGAAGATAGCTACTATGTGGAGAGATATACTGATAATGAGAGGAACGTCGTAGAGCAGTCCATTGATAAGGTCAGTCATCTTTCCCCTTTACTCGAGGAAAGGTCTCGAGAATTTCAATTTGGGAATGGGGTTTTTGATGAAGCAGCAAGGGAGTTTTATGAGCAGAACAATGAAAAGAGCGAAGAGAAACACAGCGATGGAGAACATACGGAGGATCTATACTCTCCAATTCCAACAGTTGATGGGGATTTTGAGGAAGCAGAGAGGGAATTTTATGAACAGAACGATGAAAAGAATGAAGAGAAACATGATGATGACGAACTTATGGAGAGTCAATACCCTCCCATTCCGATGGTTGATGAGGGTTTTGAGGAAGCAGAGAGGGAATTTTATGAGCAGAATGATGAAAAGAATGAAGAGAAACATGATGATGGGGAACTTATCGAGAGTCAATACTCTCCCATTCCAACGGTTGATAATGAGAGCATTGATTTTGATTTTGATAGATCAGATTCCTTTGATTCTAAAAGGGTGAATCTTAATTCTCTTCCTGGTTCCCCTTGGAAAAAGGAGGAGTCCGACAAAGAGGAAGAACAGGAGGAGGAGGATGACGAGTCTTTTGATTCGGAGTCTGATCGAGCGGAGAGCTCTTCTCCAGATGCTTCAATGGCTGACATTATCCCAATGCTTGATGAGCTCCATCCGCTTTTAGATGAAGACACTCCTCAACATGTTAGTTTGTCGCATGATGATGGTTTTGATGCTGCTTCAGACAGTTCGGGTAAGTTCAGTGCAAGCGATAATGAATCTGATGATGGTTGTGAAAACCAGGAAGAGGTAGAAGTTGCACATGACGAGAATGAAGAAGAAACACGAGACAAGGAAGATAAAAGTAAGTCAGCTATTACATGGACAGAGGAGGATCAGAAGAATCTAATTGACTTGGGAAGCTCGGAGGTGGAAAGGAATCAACGGTTGGAGAGTCTTATGGCGAGGAGAAGAGCACTGAAGAAAATGAGGCTGATGATGACCGAAAAGAATTTGATTGACTTGGATACCGCTGATCTTCCGTTCAACATCCCGCCCATTTCAACAGCAAGAAACAATCCTTTTGATGTTCCTAAGGATAACTACGAACTTGGACTGCCTCCAATTCCTGGGTCTGCTCCATCCATTTTAGTACCAAGGCGGAACCCATTTGATCTTCCCTACGACTCAAGTGAAGAAAAGCCTGATCTTATGGAAGACAGTTTCGAAGAAGAGTTTATGGCATTTCGACCAAAGGAGCCAGTCTTGCGGAGGAACGAAACTTTTAGTGCAAGGCCCTCACTATTTGGGATGAACAGGCAAGATAGCCATTTCAGACCTTATTTTGTCCCAGAAAGGATGGCTTCAGAAGGAACGAGCTACTCACCATTTCAACGACAATCTAGCGAACTTAGTGATTCCAAGGTAAGTTCTGTTCCTGAAACAGACTCATTAGGTTCAGTTGAAGACCTCATTGAAGAGGTCAATGTAAGACACAAAAGCCTCGATGAAGAAGAACTGGAACACAAAGACCTCATAGATGAACATATCTCCGAGGAACCAGAGCTGATATCTAAAATGGAGCATACTTCTGAGCATGTCAGGAATGGAAGTGAATCCTCTGAAGAAGTCGAGTCATTGGAGCAGCTGGGAGCTGTGGAAATTCATCATGAAGTAGAAGAAACTTTGCTCCAGGAAGGAAGAGTGTCCGATGCTTTGGAACTTAATCCAACCGAAATTCAATCGAAGTCAGAAACTTCTGATCAGATATACAGCAATCAATCTAGCTCCTCGTCGTTAGAAGTAAGTGAAAGGGTCTTTGCATATAAAGAAGAAGAAGAAGAAGAAGAAGAAGAAGAAGAAGAAGAAGAAGAAGAAGAAGAAGAAGAAGAAGAAGAAGAAGAGACGATGTCAAGCTTAGAGGAGACAATGGGTGATGTTGAACAAAATGGGATCTCCAGGCAAACTTCATTTAATGGATCAGATTTCCACATCACGAGCACTTCAGCGGAGCAGACTTCACACTGGGAACCTATTTATGATACCAGTCCTTCTGCTATTATGGAAAACACTTTTTCAGCCTCCTTAAGTTCAGATCAGCTTGAGGAATCTGAAACAGGGTTTTCCCCTATATTGGTTAAAAGAAGTGTTTCTTTCTTAGAGAGGGAATCTGAGGAAAGTAGTCAGGACATTGAAAGGTCCATTTCTACTAATGAAGAGATTTCGGCACCAGTAGATGACCAAGAATCTCTGTCGAGGAACGAGGTATGCAAACGTGAGCTTGATGTTGGAAAGGCAGAGATCTCTCAACATGATGAATTCTTTGGCAGTGCAAGTGCTCCTCCGGTGCCTGAGTTTGTCGTTGGTCAGGCATCTACTGACTCAAAATTATCGGCAAATGAAGATATTGGGTATGAGGAAGGAACTATTGAGCATGCGCTACAGCAAATTTATTCTTCAGGATTTAATGCGGATACCTGTATTGTGCCTCAACATGCTGTAGACCAGACAGTGGAATTCCTTTCAAAGTCCTCAGAACATGAAAACATCCATCAGTTGGATGAACAGCATTCTCTAATCGCAGAAGAGGTTCCACTCGTTCAACCAGATGTGCGTTCTTTGGAGAGGGATTCTGTGGACGATGCAGCTCAGAAGGAAGAAGCTATAATCTCAGAAATAAATGATCTTCCCTCATCAAACAATGTTGTAAATTTGGTTACGGATGCTCACAGTGAATTGGATGAAAAGCTGATCTCTTCTGAACATCAATTTGCTTCTGTAGAAAAGTCCTCGTCTCTGTGTGAAGAAGACACCGCATGCTCAGACAAATCCATGGATGAAGAATCCTCAGAGGATCACAACGTAATGGTAAACAAGTTCTTTTCCAAATTTCTTTCTTTTATGCATTTCCTTTTCTGCAACTTTTGTTTCTTCATTAATTCTCATTTCATATGTCCTATCACATTTTTACTAGAGTTGATCTTAGAAAGTTGAAATCTGCCTGGTTTACTTATTATATTAAACTGTCTGACTGATGCTAAGGTAAAAAGAACTATCCACTTGATTTACAAAATAACAACATAGAGACTTATAATCTACTTTACCTGAACTGATAGCAGTAGACAACCACAACTTTAAGACTTCTGTAGTAGGAAGAATAATAGTCTGGTTTCCACGTTAACATATCTTTCATGATATATATGTTGCCTGTTGGAGAATAAACTATAAGCCTATATAGTTGATAGGCATAATGCATCAAACCAAGGCAGATCTATAAAACCTGGCCAATTTAGAAGTCCCAGGGCCTTATGTATGCATCCCAACCTTTAGTGAAGAGAAGAATGTAAAACCAGGTAAAGGGAAAAACCTCAAAGCACAGATTTTCAAAGTCATGCAATTTTCAGTCTAGATTAAGTTCAAGATAAATGTTCAAATTATGGATATGGCAGAAGTCAGTGATAGAAGCACTAATTGGATAAGAATAATTCGCGTATTTGAGAAAACTATCATTCACAATCTGGACGAGCGAATTGCTGCTGGTTATTTGTAATTTGATGGTATACACTTACTATGGATGTCCTGCATCATCTGGACGAGTGAATTACTGCTGGTTACTTGTAATTTGGATATATGATACATACTACTTATATCCTAAGTTGCTCTGACACGGCGGTTTAGGTGTCGTACCCGTGTCGACACGACACTAGTATGGGTATAGGTATGAGATCCGTATCGGATCTGGTCAAACAATTTTGGGCACTTTGAGCACGACGGACGGAAAAATTCTAGACGTGATACGATTTGATTCCCGAAATCAGAACCAAAACTAGGGTAAATTTGAAGAATATAGCATACCTTTTCTAGGAAATCAATCTTTTACTTATCTACAAATTAAGAATAAGAAAGAAATCCACACTTTACAAGATATACGTAAGTATTCCACAAAATTTCTCATCATTTAGAGATTTTTATATTTGTATTTTTTTGAATTATTTTTAGCCGGATCCTGCACCTGTATCCGTACAAGGATCCGTATCCCCGAATCTTAGAATTTACATCTCGAAGGATCCGACCTCTAGATCCATTTCGCTCTTTCGTTTTCCTTTAAATGTTTCTAGTAGGAACAAATCCTGGTAATCTAAGTGCCATCTTTTTCTGACAAGCAGGAGCCACCAGTTATCCTGGTTGAGTCAATTGAGGAAGCAAGCACCACGGAGAACTTGAATGTGCCAGAAATCCATGACCTTGGTGACGGAATCCCCATTATCAACTCCCCACGTACTCCTGACTCTTTCTCCAATCTGCATGAGGTTGATGAAGCCCCAAGAGGTGCTGGTCTATCAGGTCTAAGGAACAACATCCTCGATGAGTTGGAAAATGATAACCAGATCAAGGTCTTGGAAAACTATGTATTGCCACTAGAAGCAGCTGATTTTCATCATGATGAGCAATATATAGTTGAAGAAACCGATGGTATCAGCGACATTGATGAGGTATTTCTCTCTGAATTAGATACAGTTGGTGACTTTAGCATCAAGGGGTCAAGCCAGAATGAGTTTGAGAGACAAATCAACTCTAGTGCAGAGGATTTGTCTCCATTCCATGCTGTTGATTCTGTAACTACAGAAGTTTACGAAGGGGCCTGTGCTGAAGTTCATGAAAGAAAGCTCCCGTTGCACCCTGAGATCTTAAATGCATCCACATTTGAAGAGATTGATGAGCATGAAGAAAAGGAGTGTGCTTCAGATATTCAAAATTATGGATTGATAAGTATCGATCATATTGATGTTGTTTATCCTAGATCAATTGAAGGAGGATTGCCAGAGGATAGTGAGACCGGACCTTCAGATCCCAGTGTAAAGCACAATGTGGATGCTCAAGAGATAGTTCCAGAAATGCCAATAGTTGAAGCTCAAAACTCTGTCTTTGAGGTGGAAAACTTACAATCTACTCAAACTGGAGTGACTGAAGAGGAAACTGATTCTGGTATGCCAGTACTGGAAGCACAAACAATTCAAGATATTGAGTCAGCATTTTGGCAAGTTTATGAGAAAGAAACAGAGAAATCTAATGTTCTTGAGCAATCTGATGGTGAAGATTCTGGAATGCCAGTGCTGGAAGCACAAACAATTGAAGATATTGAGTTAGCATTTAGAAGTACTTCTGAGAAAGAAATAGAGCACTCGGATGTGCTTGAGCTACCTAATTCTGAGCTAGTAACTGAACAATCTGGTTGTTCAAACAATGACGCAGCGGTTGAAATGTCAAGTTCAGTACAGGAAGATTCTGGAATGCCAGTTCTGGAAGCACAAACAGTTGAAAATATTGAGTTAGCATTTAGAAGTACTTCTGAGAAAGAAATAGAGCACCCGAATGTGCTTGAGCTACCTAATGCTGAGCTAGTAACTGAACAATCTGGGAGTTCAAACAATGCGGCAGCAGTTGAAGTGTCAAGTTCAGTACAGGAAGATTCTGGAATGCCAGTTCTGGAAGCACAAACAGTTGAAGATATTGAGTTTGCATTTAGAAATATTTGGGATAAAGAAATAGAGAACTCGGATGCACTTGAGCTTCCTAATGCTAAAGTAGTAACTGAAGAATCAGGGAGTTCTGACAATGCAGCAGTGTTTGAAGTGTCAAGTTCAGTACAGAAAAATTCTGGAATGCCAGTGGTGGAAGCACAAACAATTGAAGATATTGAGTCCGCATTTAGAAGTACTTCTGAGAAAGAAACAGAGAACTCGAATGTGCTTGAGCTAGTAACTGAAGAATCTGGAAACAATACAGCAGCGGTTGAAGTGTCAAGTTCAGCTCTTGAAGATTCAGGAATGCCAGTGCTGGAAGCACAAACAGTTGAAGATATTGAGTTAGCATTTAGAAATATTTGGGAGAAAGAAATAGAGAACTCGGATGTGCTTGAGCTTCCTAATGCTAAACCATTAACTGAAGAATCTGGGAGTTCTGACAATTCAACGGTGTTTGAAGTGTCAAGTTCTGTAAAGGAAGATTCTGGAATGCCAGTGCTCGAAGCACAAACAATTGAAGATATTGAGCTAGCATTTAGGCAAATTTCTGAGGATGAAACAGAGAACTCGAATGTGCTTGAGCTACCTACTGCTGAGCTAGAAACTGAAGAATCTGGAAACAATGTGGCAGCGGTTGAAGTGTCGAGTTCAGTACTGGAAGATTCTGGAATGCCAGTACTGGAAGCACAAACAATTGAAGATATTGAGCTAGCATTTAGGCAAATTTCTGAGAATGAAACAGAGACAGAGAACTCGAATGTGCTTGAGCTGCCTAATGCTGAGCTAGTAACTGAAGAATCTGGAAACAATGCAGCAGCGGTTGAAGTGTCAAGTTCAGCTCTGGAAGATTCTGGAATGCCAGTGCTCGAAGCAGAAACAGTTGAAGATATCGACACAGTATTTAGGCGAATATCTGAGAAAGAAATAGAAAAATCAAATGTTCTTGAGCAACCTAATGCTGAGCTAGCAACTGACATATCTGGGAATTTTGACAACGCAGCAGTGCTCGAAGTGTCAAGTGTGACACGCGCAATGCAATTACCAATTCTTGAAACAAGACAAACTGAATATTTTGATTTGGATCATGAAGATCTTTCAGAGGGTGATGGTGATGAGCATACGGAGAAATCCAGAGACATAGGAGCTTCTTCAGATTCACAAAACTTTGAGACAGACTTGGCTTTGAAACAAGTCTTGGAAGCAAATCTGGAGAGACCCCTGAAATCCACTTCTGAAGGTGAGTTAGCAGAAGTTAAGCCAAGTGGAGCAGGCTCATCCAACATGGAATCAAGTGCTAGAGGATCTGATGTATCTGGATTTGGTGAAGGTGAAACTGGAAAAGGAGATCATGAAGTTGTAGTAAAAGAAGCTAAGGAATTAACGGCTGAAAAACCAGATCATGTTGTTGATATGCCTACTACAGCTGATGTTAAAAGCAAGAAAGACAAACACCAAAAGTCAGGCTCAAGTTCAAGCTCAAGCTCAAGCTCTGATTCAAGTTCAAGCGACTCTGAAAGAGAATGAAGACGATCGAAAGAATTGGTGGAAGAAGGTAGGGGAACCTTTTTTGGATTTTGCTTTTGGAGCTTTCGTTTTCTTTATCGTGTCAATGAAATTGATCACGAGGAGTTCAAGTTGGTTTACTTTGTGTTTATTGTTTTAGTAGTTTGGCTTATGCATGGTTTGTAGTGCCGTGTGAAAATGATGGACTCCTTCAAGAATGAGTTTTGGTTTGATTTCTTGAAGCATTCTTTTCTTATTTTCTATCTTTTCAGCAGTTTTGGAGATTGGTGGGAGAAAAGGTTTTGTTAACTTGTATATGGATTTTCCAATTTTTGGTATGAAACAGTTTCTGTTTGTCTGTTTCTGTGGAAGTAATGGCAAGACTCATTTGTTGCTTCTTTTTGATGTTTTCCTCTCTTCTTTAGTTATTTATTGCTTGGTAAACTGTAGAAGAGTAGTACTCTACTAAGTATTAGGAGTGTATTTATTTGATAAGTATTCCAACATAGAAACCTGTAGCTCAGAAAGTTTCTTTTTCTCTTTTTCGCTCCAACTAATAAAACTGTCTAAAAGGTTAACTGGTAGTAAATCCATATGAGAAAATTGCTCTCTCAGAATTTTGAAAAGTTATTAACAGGATAAAATGCATTAAATGATCATTTGGTTATTGGAATTAGAAATATAATGTCACTATAAACTTCAGTATGATTTAATAGTATTACTTTTGGTAGAATATTTCGTTTCTGGTACTACCGTACAAGTAATACCAGTAAATTTCATGTATATTATTTTACCCTGAATCCAACCTCAGGTAATTTAAAAGAGAATTAACTTTACACTCCATGTGAGTTCGAGCCGTGAATCAGACACTGATGCTTGCATCAGGATAGGCTGCCTATATTGCACCCCATTGATGCCGCCCTTGCATGAACACGGGATGCTTCGTGCACCGAAATACATCTTTCTATTTTTTATTTACTTTGAAAACAAGTGCTTCTGAACTTTTATACCAAACACGCATATCCCATCTGAATGCAATGGACTAAACATCCGACAGAAAAATTAACCCACCAAATAGTCTTGTGATTATTTAATCTTTGTATATAATCTCTATAAAATGATCCATGCATGGCTTTGTCCGGGAACCAAACAACTAGCAGTGTCAAGTAAGAAAAAGATTTTTCTAAACCCATTGAACCATTTCACTAAACATTGAAATATAAAATACATTAGCACTTGATAGCAGTACATTGACCGTTTTACACACATTCAATAACTTACTAATATCCTACATACACCATATCTTTCATTAGAATTACAACTTGGACACATAGTAAGTACAATAATAACCAAGATTCAGGGAAGGGATTTATGTGAACTTCCACAAAAAGTGGCTGTTCTTCTGAGCCTATTCATCAACTTTCCTAAGAGCAATTGGTGTCATAGCTAGCGAGTCCCAACAACTCCGGACCTTCAAGTCGAGGATTGTGCTCAAAGCTGCAAATTAGGAGTTCAGGAAACTCATCAGAGACAATCAACTAGTAAACTATCGTATAGAGGAAGCAGTAGGAGACGACCCCTAAATTAAGACATCAAGAAGAATAACATGGTATAAAACTATTAACGCAAAAGCTACACGGGTAAGGCCCCACGTACGACACATGGGTACAACCAGTAAACAAGTATCTTTTACTAAATTGGAAGGACAATTGCTTTCTGAAAAGATTATTCCATCTGTAGCATTATATGACAAAGACTTTATTGGTCAAATGATAGCTAACAACATGCCTAGGACTCTAGGAGATAACCGTAATTCATTTTGCATTTAATCTGCAAGCATCTACTAAGTAAGAGCTCTCAGTCCACCAAAAACAGTTCATATGTAAAGGACTGGTAGCTACAACTAGGGCGGCACTCCAATAAGCAATATTCTATTAGTCAATGAGTAGACAGTGTTCCATATTATTTACCCTGGCTTTTGGAACTGAAGATTGCAATATGCTGCAGTTTTTTATTCAAAAGAAATGTTGAAAGGATTTGGAATTCTAATTTCTATAGCTCGGTATTGCTTATTAATAAGATTTTACCTATAAAAAAAATTCTAATTTCTATAGTTTATATGGTCAATGAAAAATTATTATGCTGTTAATTGCATTTTTTTGGATATAGGTTTAGGAGGTCATGTGATGAAAGGACAAGTTCTCTGGGCATCGCAAAAGTTGTCCATAACTCCCACAAAAAGATCTCAAACCTAACACCCTTTTGAAACTGCATGAAAATAGTGCATGGCCATAGTGAAAAACGCAATTACTCAAAATTTGTTGTAGTGAATGGAAATCCATCAAATCATGCAGAATTGTAAGAGAACAAGGCAACTAAATCCAGTTTTATGCATCCATAGGACAATACAGTAGTCCTTACATTTCAAGCTTTAAAATTCTGAATCATGTAAACATTAGTGAGAACATCCATAATCCAACTAGGCCTCGAATCAGTGGTTTACAGAGAAATCAGACACTTAAAGAACTAACGGAATAAACAAAAGGCAAAAACGAACCATGAAGCACCTCAATTGATTTGAGTTGCAGTCCAATATGCAGGTCTAGAAAACTAAATAAAAGTACAATTGGGCTTCCATTGGGCTTGAAGGAAATGGAGTCATAGGTATCTTGTGTATAACTTGAATTGATACCAACCACAATGCTAATTGAAATAATTGGAACTCTTGGAACTCCTTTTGGTTAATATATCACGCCCTTCAATTTTTTTTGATAAGTAATGATGATCAGTTACTTATGTATGCCAGCAAAGAGCTGGGGCGTTACATCCTATAATTAGGTGTTATTTTAAGGCCTTTCGAGAAACCAATGAACTGTTCTAGGATAGGTCGCATATCCAAATCCTTCCCTAAGTAAGTTTTCTTATTTGGAAAAAAAAGATCTGATGTTAATTCTTTCCAAAGTCATTCACCTAATCCTTCAATAAGTCCGAAACCTGAAGCCCAAATTCAACTTAAGATGAAGAGAAATCAAGAAGATAGTCTTTTCTAAAAGTATACTTGATGGCATAAAGTATACAGAGACGTGATTACTATTTGCACCATTGCTCCATATCTGTTCCTACAGTTCAATATTGTAACAATACTCGTAGAATGTACAAAGAAATCTTACTTGTTCAGTGGAATATGCTCAAATGGACCAGAAGTAGGAATTGTTCCACACAAATTGTTATTTGAGACATCCCTGGAAGAAGCGCAAATAGTTTAAAATCTATTTTACATAAGAATAACGGTAATAACACAAGCAAAGAAATATGCACTTACACTACTTTCAGGCTAGAAACACTAGAAAGTTCTCTTGGGATTGGTCCAGTTAGCTGGTTATCATTCAGACGCCTGATAAGTTAGATAAGCAACTTTTCAGTCAACAGAAAAGGATTGTCCAACAACAGATTCACTACAAGCACGAGTGCTCGGTTATATGCAACAAGGGGATAGGGGAGCTTTCAGTCAAGACTTTACAAACTCATTTAAGGTCAAACTGAAACTAAATATTGGTCACAAACAAAAACGGAACTCTGCGAGTAGCCAAGTAACTGGTAGTAGCCTCC